AATTCCAGAAATAAACAGTTCATAAGTTTGAAATTATGCACTATTCTGAATAGCGTGATGAAATCTTGCACCATCCTACTCAGGCCTGCCTGGAATGTGAATTGTCCTTTTGTCCAGTGTGTCCACGCTGTAGACACTACCTGCCGTTAGTCACTTAGTATAATTACATCTCAGTTATCAGATTGACTTTCATGGTATGGCAGTGCTTGTGTTCAAGTCACCCTTTCTTTTACTTAATAATGGCCCCAAAGCACAAAGGTAGCGATGCTGGCAATTCGGGTGTGCCAGAGGGAAACTGTAAAATGCTTCCTTTAAGTGAGAAGGTGAGTACAGTACAATGAGATATTTTGAGAGAGACCTGTCATATAACTTTTATTACAGTATATTGTTATAATTTCTATTTTATTAGTTATTATAGTTAACCTCTAATTGTGCCTAATTTATAAATTAAACTTTATCATAGGTATGTGTGTATGTATCAGAGAAAGCATAGCATATATAGGGTTCCATGTTATACTTGGTTTCAGGCATCCACTGGGGGTCTTGAAACATATCCCTCTTGTATAAAGGTGGACTACTATATTAGAAAAAAACAATATGCAAAATAACGGTAATTTTAACCAATCAGAGATTCAGTTTATACCACCGTTAAAGCTGCCGTTTGCATTAAAGCCATTCATTTTGCAATTTTTTAAGCCTGTCACCACTGAAGTTTCATTACCGAATACCTTCAAGTCAAATGTTGTCAATTTTGAGTTAGTAGCTTTGCCTAAGCATAAAGTAGATGTTTTGCATCGTCACAATTGAATACTCAAAATAGTATTTACATTGTTTAAAAAATATACCGTCTAATAAAGCAGAGCAAGCTTGTCATTAATCAAATGCATATACCTCCAGGTTGGCCACATTCGTGCGGAACGTGACATTCTAGTGGAGGCAGACAGTTTGTGGGTTGTGAAAATGTTCTATAGTTTTCAGGATAAGCTAAACCTCTACCTAATCATGGAGTTCCTGCCTGGAGGTAATGACTTGATGATGAAAGGTCATTTTTCCTTTTTGTTCTGTGGCTTCTCTCTCACTTCAATTAACCCTCCTTTCTACTTTTAATCGTGCTCACAGTTACTTTCTGTCTCTTTTTTTAGGTCTATAAGGAAGTCAGTAACCTGTCTTGTGCTGGGGTGCCTTTCTACAATTCTTAGTGCCATAAAAGTAACCTCCTCACTCATTCTCATGATTTCAGATGGACATTTCTTTCTTTCTCTTCATTTCTTTTTAAATACATAGGAATAAACTAGGGATTCTGCCTGCTCTCCTGTCAATGGGAATCATGTATAATCAGTTACCCAAGGGACAACACTGAAACGATAACATTCTTTGCTTCAACGTTTTGGTTTCTTTTTCTATAACTTATGTTAATAAGGAGTGAATTTCTCATTACCTGTATCAGTAGCCAGAATCAGTTTCTCATTTCTGAGATTTCAAGTGTTATGTAACTCAGCATGTGCGTCTCCTAAGACAGCTCCAAAGTAAACCCAGCGCAGGGCATGCCATCTGTTCTGGGGAACACAGCCGGTTTTTCTGTGAGCGGATGAACTAACTATGAGTAAACGCTGGTGGGAAAAAAAGAGCTTTTTCTTTTTTTGGTTCTATAGCAAAGCAAATATAATTGTGATGTCATATTTTGATCTTGTGACAACCTTTAGTTTAGATCTAGGGTCATTAATAATTTTTTATTTAGAATTGATGAAGGTCAGAAGAGAATCTGATAGAACCAGGAGAAACTNGTAGCAGTGATTTTAGTCAGCTTATGAACTTTTTGTCTCCTAGAACTGTTCTTTTTTGCTAAATTGAAATGTATATTCTCATAGTTTTCTTTAGCTGTCATGTATGAATATATATAATACTTTTCGTTCTCCAACAAAGAAACACACGTATTTTAAAAGTACAAATAATGCCTGTATGTTATGTGCAGTCTTTTTAAAGTTGAAAATCTATTAGAGAACCACCTGCTATTTGTATTTCCCAGTTAATCACAAGTTGTCCTTGTCACAAGGAGCCTTTTTTTGAGGTCATGCTTGCTGTGGTAGAATGTTTCTTACTGAATATTGAGAGATAGAAATTGTATATACACCTTGGAACTGAGGCTTCGGAGTTAGAATTTGGAATTTGCAATCTAAAATGTGTCAATGTACTTCATCCTATACACTGAAACCAAAGTTGGGTCTTCTGAGTAGCTCAGCACTACCTAAAAGAGAACATTCTTTAATGATTAAGAACACTTTCTAAAACCCAAAACTACTTTGCAGATAGATTTATAAGATGAAAACAACATACTTTACGCAAAATAAATTTTAAATATTGGACAGTATATTAAAAACGAGAATGCAGACTTTTTTCAAATCTAGTTTAATTTAGCTGGTTGCTTAAGAACAGATTGTAGTGGGCGATGCCTGCAACATCTTGTAAGAGATCCGATGCTACAGGAAGGCAAATAGAGACCCTCAAGCCAGGAGGGCTTTGGAGACAGAGCCCAGGAGCAGGATGGAGACTGATCCCACACCCAATCCTTTCCACCTCTTGAGAGGGGGCACAGCCACTGAGGCGTCACTTAAGTGCCAGCTGGAAACTTGGAATGTATATTTTCTCTTCCATTTTCATGTTACCCAGAAGCTTTAGAGTCCCAGGAATTTCGGTTGAGAGTATCAAATACCCTGGCAGTAAATCTTCAGACAGTATAGTTTATACTAACACCAACCTTATTAAAAACGCAATCAGCCCTATTTATGTGTTATCTAAAAGTTAGTGTGTGGTGTGGGTATAGACACCGAGAAGAGTTTCAGTTGATCTTGAAAAGGAAAAATGTAAAGCTGTGTTGATTAGTCAGTATATTTTGTATTTTACAAGTACGTTTTACAAGACATATTTCCTGTAAGTTTAACCAAGGCTCAAGACCTTTCTTTATCAAATAATTAGCATTCAGAATAACATTATAAAGAAGTGCACATCATCATTCTCACTTATTAATCCGTCATAGCATGTGCCTGTTGCCCAACATGGTAACAGGATCCAAACATTGTGTAAAAACATTTTCTCAAATATCGTACCTTCAAAATTAATTTCTAAAATTTTTCTACATGAAAGTAAAGGGAAATGCCTGTTAGAATTAGAATCTGAGTCCATCTTGCTGTTGGACACTACTCCCTAGGTTTGATTTCAGGATGGTCAAGTTAAAATTCCTGGCCACAGACTCTTCCTGGGCAGCCATGTGAAGAAGCAAGTAGCAGGCCTGTGCTAGGTGAGAAGGGAAACAGAGCAGGGCGAATCCATCACCTTTGGGTAGGGCTCACGAAGTTGAGATTCAGAGCCTTACTTTTTGTAGGTTAGGTGCCTTATTCAGAGGAAAACTTTTTTGTTTGCTTTTATTAAACCGAGCAAGAATTAAAGCTACCCAGTGAGAGAGTTCAGGTTGTTATTGTTATTCCCTCTCGCAAGGTGGAAATTTTTGCTACCTGGACAATACGTTTTAAAAGGAGAAGAGACCAGCATTTAGCTAGTTTCTTCAGCGCAAAAGCAAAACCTCCAATTGTAGTACCAGTATAGTGTTAGGATGGGACAAAAGGCTGACTTCTGTCTCTGTTTTCCTAGTGCCCAGGATAGCAACTAGCGTGTAATTCCCACCCCATTCAACATTCATGGGACAGAGGAAAGGGAGCCTCTGGTGGGAGCGGCACCTCTGGCTCTTCCGCCCCTTACCCTGTGCTCACCTGACTCCACCCCACACCCTGAGGTTCCCAGCTTCTGGTTCAGCCCACCCAGAAGAGAAGCGAGAAGTGTGCTCACAGGGCCTGTAACTTTCCCCATGACAAACAGGGTATGTCGCAGCCACCATTCTGTCCTC